ACCAGAAAAGCATTGAGCTTGGATTAAGTGTAAGATCAGGCGAGGAGGGGAAGGCCTTTGAGTGTACGCATTGCATTATCTGTAATAAAGTCCAAAAAACATGCAAGCACCTGATACTATAGACCAGAAATACCCTGCAAAATTCCCTAGAAACAAGGGATGGTAAATGAAAATCTAGCAATCAACACTGTTCTTATTTCTAAAAGTATCACATTTTCTCTTTTTTGTAGTAAAAAACAAACCTATATAACAAGCATTTTTATGGGAATCCTCCTTACTTGTGTCCAACCCACTTTTTCCACAGTCTTATAGACAGTATCTCAAAAGAATGAGCTTCAGAAACACTACTTACTGCTCTGCTTAAAAGCCCTTTGGAACCAAAGATCTTTTTTAAATTACAATCAAACTTACTTTCCATGCTTTTTGCCCCTTAGTTTTTCAGCTTCCAATTTAAGAATTTAAGTTCTGAGAGGCTCCACTCAACCCTTTCTAAAGGCAACACCATCCTTTTGAGTTGCTGAGTCTGGATACAGAACATAAATAGAGATACAGTTAAACTTAACGAAAAGGTTCCCTTGTAGTTCCTGTGACTACATTCATGACCCAGACTACTGCCTAGATTTTCAATGATGCTATCTCATTCTTGCCCACAGTGTACCATGTCCATTTCTAGATTTTTTTTCCTTTCTCATAGAAGCAGCTAGGGTTTTCTATCTTAACATCTGGGCTTAAAATAACTTCCTACCAAAATCATCTTATTCTCCTGTGACTTTCTTTTTTATATTAGTTAAGGTTATTCTTCGCTCTAATTCCACTTTTCAATGTATACTTTCATATAAAAAGTGACAAAATTATTTTATTTAAATATTAAATAATGAATGTTACATTACTCAGTGATTAAGCCCTAACAACTTCACTTTAATATTCACATATGGTTATTTCCAATTACAGGCAAGAAAAATGATTTAACAGCTTGGTCCAGCACCAACAGAATAGCCAAAATTGGGGCAAAACATAAAAAGTTTGTGCACACATCACAACAGAGGCAATTTTCTGTGTTTTCCTGCAGCCTCAGTCAGTTCAGTCGCTCAGTCATGTCCGACTCTTTGTGACCCTATGAATTGCAGCACGCCAGGCCTCCCTGTCCATCACCAACTCCTGGAGTTGACTCAAACTCATGTCCATTGAGTCGGTGGTGCCATCCAACCATATCATCCTCTGTCATACCCTTCTCCTCCCGCCTTCAATCTTTCTCAGCTTCAGCCTACCTACTTCCATAAGCATTAGATGAGTACTTAGCATCTTTAAAGAAATCTGGTGTCTTCTCATCTACTTAGTACAGGATGGGAGAAACATTCAAATTCAACTACAACCAACAGTCACTACCCACACAGCCCAAGTCCCCAACTCATATCCATTCACATTCATCTATTCTTGGTGTTGCGATAACAGTCATTATAAGAGACACTGGTAGGTCCTATAGATTCTGAAGCTTTCTAATGTACTAACATCTCATTTGTACTCAATAATAACATATTCAACGGTAAGAAGATAGCCTGTTTTACTTATCCACATGACTGATCTGATCAATCGTACAAGGCATTGCATTTACACATTTAATCCTGAAAAAACTCCAAATGGACTTGGCTGATGTAAAGAAGTTTGGGGCATCTGAGAAGAATCAAATCCATCTGTCAACTCGTATATCCTCAAGGACAGAGATTCTACCAACACAAATCCACACGTGAAATACCAAGTTGTAAACAGTTTTATGTAAACAGTGTAAACGTTTCCATGTTCTCAAGCTTTAAAAGGTAACCAAGTATGAATGTGGACATCTTCATCTTCCCTGGCCCCCAATAAAATCTATTCTCAGAGCAGCTAGAGTGGCCCTTTTAAAATGTTAGACACAACTGGCCATTCTTGTGCTCAAAACCTTAAAATGATTTTCCACCACACTCAAGAGTTCATATGCAAATCTTTACAATGATCAAGACCTCATGTGGCCTGACCCACTCCAAGACACCCCAACCTCCAGCTCTCTCCTCTCCCTCCCACTCCCCCCTCTCCTTTCCACTGTGCTCCAGCTCCAACCTTGCTGCTCCCCCAAATTTCAATCATGTTCTTGCTTCAGGATCTTTCTGTACCTGATATCCCCTCTCTCTGGTGCTGGCTTGAATATAACGTCAGTGAAGCCCTCCTAGACCATTCTATTCAAAAGAGCAATGCTCTATCCTTTTTCAAGCACAGCACTTCTTTACCATCTGCTATACCTTCTTACTTACTCATTTATAGCCTGCTTTCCTTGACTAGAAGGTAAACTCCACGAGGACAGGCATTTTTATCTGTTTTACTCACTTCTATATCCCAGGACCCAGAGCAATGCTCAGCACAAAACAGATAATATACAGAGACAAAATCAATGATGCTAAATAGCATCTGTTTTCCTGTGCCTTCCCATTAGCAGGTAAGGTCCATGATTGTACAGGGATTGATATTGTCCATTATATGGAAATCTAAAACAGATTTCAGTATCTAAAACACCACCAGCACATAGCTGGCACTCAACAAATATTTACTAAGTGAATCTTCATCCCATTCTTTTGGCAGAGAACAGAAAGAAAATTTCAACTCATATTCACATGTTCTCAACATGTTGCTTGGCTCTGAAATAATATAATCCAATGAGAAGTGAATCATCCCCATTTCTACTTTAGAAATATACATACCTTTATTTTGTACATAATCTAAAGTGCAATTAAAAGCCAAAAATGATAGGCAAAGATTAATGAGGAAACATCAGTGTTTCCTTGGTGATAAGGAATGGACTTTCACAGTACAAAATTGTCCAATTATACAATGAAAACCAATTCCCTTTCATGTTTCCCCAAAATTTTTCTTCTCCCATGTATCATTAAAGGCTTTCCTGAATAGAGACTTTTAGTCCTTTCTTTCTCTTCCCCACATTGAAGCTAATTCATAACACAGTTATATAACATTTACTCGACAACTATCTAATACAATAAACACAAAATTTTTGTTGTTGTTTCCTTTTGCTCTGAACTCCAGCATACTTAAAAATGAGGATGGTAAAAAAGACTGTGGATACTAAAACAAGTGTGAAATCATCAAAATGAGCCTCTCTTTCTTGGTATCAGCAAACACTCTTTGTTTGGGCAGAGATGCTATCAACTCAGAGAGATAGAAGCCAAGGCAGAAACCACTGCAGTGCCTCACTGGTGATCGGGACAAAGTCCCTCCAGTCAAGCAGACTAATCAGAAAACACAAATACCATGAGGTCCTTCACCCTTACTGTGATTACCAGAGGCAAAGCCGGCAGGTCAGCAGCTCTATACATTCACTCTCCGACCCCTCTTGAGCTCAGTATACTGGGTCAAAACGGACTACCGTTCGCTTTAAATCTAGGGAGACTGATCTATAGCTTTACCTAGTAACACAGATAAATCCATGGGATGAACTCGCCACTTGTCAAGGCTAAGAATTACAGTATTCCTTTTGAAAATGTCCAGTTAATTTTAAAATGTAGAGAGGTCAGCATATTGCTTCAAGAAAGGTTAAGAGCCTACTGATTGTGGAACTGGACTCAAGGCTGAAACTCATATATAACAGCATCTGAGAAAAATAATTTCCGTACCTGCTTACACATCATAATATAAGGTCTAGAAGGCAGGAAAGAAAACATGTGAGAAGACCGGAAGCACAGCCATCCTAGGCAGATACATCCAGAGAATTCTCAAACCACTAAACCACCACAGGGCAGCGCTAATCTTCACATGGTCCGTGCAGCCCTCTGGCCACAGAGGTGCTTGGGAGTCAGCAGCTGAGTGCTAAGGATGGGACCCAGCATCAGGCTCTGCATCTCTCACCCCAGTACGAATCAAGAGGCGACTGGGATGTTGAGATTCTGCAAAATCTCATTTACAAAGAATTGGGGGAGGGGGGGCAGGGAAGGGTACTGCTTAAAAGATGTCTGAAAACCAGAATCAAGGACCTCAGAGCAAGGAGACCAGAGTTCAGATCCTAAATTTGAGGACTGAGGAACAGACATAATCCTGCCAGGCAAAGAATCAGTGATCAGTAAGTGGTAACAATTGTTATTTATCAGAGAGCTGTCATAGAAGGTATTAAAGAAGTGACCCTCGAAATACACAGCCTAAAACCATGTAACTATGATGTGACAGTACATAACCTTTATTTGATCAATTCATCCTTTGGCCAAATATAAAAATACTCCTTATGAATCCACTTTATTCTTTAGAAAGTAAAGATGTAGTACCTGGGAACCAAAAGTTTTTCAAAGACCAATCACAAAAGAAAGGAAGCGGGGAGGGATGGGGAGTAGGGAAGGGTGGAGAGAGGAAAGGAAGGAAGGAAAGAAGGAAGAAGGAAGGAGAGGAAGAGGGAAGTGAGGAAGAAAATGTGAAAGAAAAACAGCTCCAAAATATGCAAGACAATTACAAAATGAAAATACATGCTTGTCACTACTGAAGAATATTCAAGAATTTCAAGATTCATAAATACTTCATTATACATTTAAATAATTTGTGAGTGAGATTTTCTCAAAAACTACCAACAAGGTACAATGACTGCGGAGAAAATCACAACCGACTTTAAATGGGGCGACATACTCAAAACCAAATTTTTTTTTAAATTTTCGACTGCTACAGCAATTCACACAATGTGTGACTACATCTGCTACGTTAAAACGAGAGCCTCTAACAGTAAAAGGTCCTGGTGTCTTAGAACAGCTCCCCTTTCAGGCTTCCTCAAAAATCGTGGCAGAGCCGAGAGTCAGACTTAGGGGAGAAAGAAGCAAGGCCAGCTGCGCTCTGTGATCCCCTGCAGCCTGGGCTAAAAGAAACCTGAATCACTCTGTTAGGGTCATCACCACCACTGGGGAACCTCCCCCAGTCACAACACCTGGACCAATGGAAGATGCGACAGACAGCCACCGGCTCTCAGAGGGATGGAGCCTCACCTGCTTTATTTTGTTTCGGGAGTTGGTGATGCGCTCTGTGATGCTCTGGTAGGTGCGGATGGCAGTTGTCAGTTCTGTGTAGTGCCGTACAATGAGTTCATCCAGGTCACGGTCACACCTCTCATAGGCTTCTTCGAGACGCCCCTTCTCGTTTTCTCTGTCTTCAACATCATCACTGGTAGACAGGGTCCTGTTTAAGACAGAATGTATCAGGCTGAGTCAAACTTAAAAGCTGAAAGTAGAAACAAGTAGAGTTAAGTCAGTGAGGGTACATGCCCCTAGGAAATGAAACAAGTTACTAAGGGAAGATATGAAACATTTGCGTGGTAAATTCCAGTAGCCTAGTAAGTGGATTTATATGTTTTCTAAATAAGGAATCTTCCCCTTCACTTTTCCCCTTGGCATGAACTCTGTAAGAGCCTGGGCACGTCTCCATTTGTTTGAATGAATCCTAGTACGTGCATGTCCCTTATCAGTGACAAGTCTGACCAATAAGACCTAAGGACTTCTAGGAGTAGTTTCCTTCCAAGAAGATTAACAGGAAGCAAGTTCCTCTTCCCAACACTGGGTATTGTTATACAAAGCTCAGATAATCACACATTAGCCATGTGATAATCCTGGAAGGAAAAGCCAGGAGAAACGCCAAGCTACTGCCATCACATCATTGGGCCACCAAAGTGGCCAACCCACAGCAGCCTCACCCCAGGACTCCTTATGAGGGGAGATAATAAATATCCATTGCTGATGTCACTTTCACTTGGTCTTTTATAACAGAGCCAAAAGCATACTTACTGTAAAACTGCTTCTACACTAAGGAACTGCCTTCCAAACAGTTCATTCAAATGACCTGAATTTGGTTCAGAGCCCCCAGCGACGCAGAAATAAGATCATGGTAATTCTAAAAATCCATTACAACAGCAATAATATCAGCTATACTACCAGACAGCCCCTGCATTTACTATTCTTCCAACAGCACTAACAAGATTGATATGAATCAACAATAAGCAGCGAGTGAGATAGATACACTTATTAAAAATCTTTCAATAACTTAGTTTGATACATGGGCACAGAGCTTTGTTCCCTCTATTATCCTTCTTGAGTAATTTTTTTTTAATTTAGTGTTATAATCAGTAACAAAGAAACCTTTTTCTCTTATCTGTTGGCTGCCGTAATTTCGCTCCATTAAATTCCCTCAGATTTGTCAGCTTATACATTCAGCATACTTTATTTCATTTATCTTTTTTAATTTAGGGAGGGGGTAGTTTAGGCTTTCTGTGATGGATGCAATCAATTATAAAGTCCATCATTAGAACTGCTTTCGGAGATGGTCTGTCAGCAAATCAATCACCTAGTCCCTTCCAGATTTTTGTAAGCAAACTACTGTAAAACAGTCTTTTTCCAAACTGTCATTTAGAGCAAAAGATCTTAATTCATGAGTCACACAATTTACAAAACATTATCTTCCAATTTAGAGGGAGATTCAGCAGGCCAGTCTGATACTAATCTAACCTCTAAAAAGAATTTTGTAAATGTGTTAAGGGATGTCAAGAGATGATGTCCAGCATGAAATGGGGGAACAGGAGGGACAGAAATGGAATGAAGCAAAAGGCACCGTTTGGGGAGGGAGCGGTACCGGATAAACACTGGGAACCCCAAGACTTGAAGGAAGGCCTTTCCCATGCCAGATCCTGTGTCCTCCTCTGTCAACTGGTAAGCCTACACCAGGCTACCTCGAAGCTTACTTCCAGGAAGAAAATAACACACAAGCATTGAGCTAATTAAGTAAATCAGAGTAGAGACCTTGGGGTGGGGGGGGGGGGTGGAGTTTTGGTTTCAAAGATAGAACAACCAGTATTACTTGCAATATTTGGGTACAGGGTGGCTGAGCATGTCATCATGTTGTTTCTATGACACATAACTTTGCTCTTTAAATCTGAAACCTTCCAGGCTGTTAATCTAGAATAAAGCACAATCAGAAAATGCCTTCAATTTATCAACTGTCCCAAAGGGAAGAGCTCCTAGATATTTAACTATTAGTTCCCCCTGTTCGCAGCAAATGGCCACAGACTTTTTTCAAAGCTACACTCAGTCAGTTTGCATCTTTATGAGGCTTTGCAGGATTTCCTCCCCACCATCTGTGGAAGGAAACATGCCAAGCATTTGACATCATTCACATTTACTAGTACAACTACCATCAGGGAAAATGTTGGGCTGAGAGACCATCTTCGTGGGCATCAGCTGTCACTGTAACACATCACCACACATTAGGAATGATTCAGAAAACCGAAAGGATTACTGAAATGAAGATAAGAATAAACTGGGTCTCAGTGAGCTTCAGTTCCTATGTTCATTTTCAGAGAAAATATCTGTATAAGGAAATAGCCTGTGCCATGTTTTGCCCCCACATCCAAAATTCATCCTCTAGATGTAAACTGGGCTGAATGACATTTGCCTTTAGTCAAAAATTTCTTGCATAAGAGCACTCTGAGAGGACAAAACCATTCAAGTTTTGTTTGTGCTTTGGGATTTGTTTGTTTATGTGGACCATTTTTGAAGTCTTTATTGAATGTTACAATATTGCTCCTGTTTTATGTTTTTTGATCTTGAAGCATGTGGAATCTTACTTCCGCAACCAGGCATTGAACCCATGCCACTTGTACTGGAAGTGCAGAGTCTTAACCACTGGACTGCCACAGAAGTCCTTAAAAAGTGTTTTGTTTTTTAATTAGAGAAAAGGGAAGCAGCAATAATAGCCACTAATATCTAGAGAGACTGCACATTTTATAAAAAGTATGTTCAATCCATAGAACAACCCACTGGACTGGGTCCCGTTAACATACTTCCTCTCTCTTTTCACAGATGCCATAGCTGAGATTTAAGATGGTAAATTTGCCCCATCTCAGACAATGAGTGTAAGGGCTAGGGTGTGCATGTATGCTCACTGGCTCACTCGTGTCCAACTCTTTGCAACCCCATGGACTGTAGCCCACCAGACTCCTCTGTCCATGGAATTTCCCAGGTAAGAATACTGGAATGGGTTGCATTTTCCACTCCAGGGGATCTTCCCGACCCAGGGATCACACCAGAGCCTCTTGCCTCTCTTCCAATGGCAAGTGGATTCTTCACCACTGCGCCACCTGGAAGCCTAAGGGATAGTATAGGAATTCAAAACCCACATCAGTCTGTTTCCAGATTACGCTCCTGTCTCCTACAGATTGGTGGGCTACCCTGGAATCAAACTGCTTGGGCTGGAACCCAGGCTCCACCGCTGCTGCCCACATGACCACGGTCACAGTATCTCCTTTTGCGCACCTATAAAATGGAGATAGTAAGTATACCTTCCTTATGGGGTTGCAGGTGAGAATTGGATGAAATTAAACAAGCCCTGGCATATCACTAGCACTCCATAAAAAAGGTTGTTGGCTGCCATTGTTGTAGTGATAGTAGTTAACTGCAATAAAGGCAGTAACAGTTTTCCACAATGTCACAGAAAGGGCATCCTTTAGAGACAAAGGTTCAAACTCCCGCACCCCCAAATACTGGATCATTAGGCTCTGGGAGAGGCCTGACCTCCCTTTCACTTTACTCCTCCTTAATATCAAGAACTGTGAAGAGTCTGAGCCTTTATACTACTCAGAAGCTAACAAGTTGGCCTGCCACAGTTTCGTGGATGCTGGGAGAAGTCACAAAACTTCTGGGTGGGTCAGAAGCTAAGGACTTCATTAGTCATAGCACAACAAGTAGCAAGAGCATCAGCATGTTTGTAGCAGACCGCTTGCCCCCGAGCCCCATGGGCAGTGGGAAGATGGGCCCAAATGGATGCCTGCTGAGTTGCTGAAGAGGACTCTGAGCTTTGAAAACTGAATTTTTTACACTAGACAGTAAACATGCCTGCCATTTGCTCTGGAGGGAAAAATTATCTCTATACCTTCTAAACAGGTCAAACAAACATCTTGAGAGTCTAAAACAAAAGCCACCCATACTTTGCTCACAAGAACCTCAGAAACACAACCTTCCCAAGGAGAACTGTCCCCCAACAAAAATGAAACCTAATTGATTGGGTTCCTCCAGGGACTGCACGGTGTCGAGCAATAGTCGACCATTAACAAAGATTCATTTCCAACCTGTTTTCAACAAAATGAGGCCAGAAATACAACGCCTCACACATTAAATATCTGCAAAATGAATGACTGACTGACCATAAGAGCAGACTAATTCTAGGGATAGAGTCCCCACACATGCTCCTGAAACCCAGCGAATTTCAGTGTGGGATTATCCTGCTTTAAGCGGGTCACCTGACCTGAACTGAGAGCAGGATGGAAAAGAAGGCTTGTGATTGAACTCACCCTGCCAGCCAGGTCAGGAACCTCTCCTCAGCCTGCTAAGCCTCTGGGTAAAGAAAAGATCACTCGCTCACAAAGCCACTCCCCACAATTCTGAACTGCTCTACTTGCTACAAGGTCTTTCATTAAAATAAAATCCTCCTCTTTGTAATTTCTACCCATTGATGCTGGGGAGAAAAAGAATGAAAGTGTTATTCGCTCAGTCCCGTTGGACTCTGCGACCCCATGGACTGTAGTCCGCCAGGCTCCTCTGTCCATGGGATTCTCCAGGAAAAAATACTGGAATGGGTTGCCATTTCCTTCTTCAGGGGACCTTCCCGACTTAGGGATAGACCCCAGGTTTCCTGCATTGCAGGCAGATTCTTCACCCACTGATCCTAGTTCTGCCTTTTTCAGTATATTCCCTCTTTTATGTAGTCTTTCTTTAAATAGTAAAGGATTCTTTAATACTTTCTCACGTTCAACAGCTCCAGTTTCTTCATCCATTTCTTCTACAACATGGAAGCCCACCAGCCTTGTTAATTTCTTCTGAAGTCCCCTCGAAAACAAGGGACACTCACAAATAGGACTTACTGCATTACTCTCTGTGGTTTATACATATTAATTTATTCCAGACAACAACCTGTGAAGTAGGTGCCATTGTTCTCTTTTTACATATGAAGAGTCAGAGTTGTGCATTTGAGGCACAGAACTTTTAAGCTGCAGAGCCAGGCCTCAAACCTGGATAGTCTGGTCCTTAGCAGGTTCCCTACCTTGCCTCTTAAGATGTGGTACTCACAACTGACACAACACACTCCTAGTATAATGTGACCATCCAAATAGAAAGGGGTTTTATAACCCATAAATT